AGGTCTGTCTTGGAGAAGGTGAAACCAAGTTTCTCATTGGAGGCAAGGGTTTGAAGATCCACCTGACATACTTTGGGCACATATCCAGGAGGGACCAGTCCTTGGGGAAGGACATCACACTTGAAGAGTGGAGGGACAGCACAGGAGAGGAAACCTCAGGATGAGATGGGTTGACACAGTGAGTATGGTAATGAGAGTAGGTGTGTCAGAGACATTTGCTATGTGTCAGAGAGCTGGACAATGTATAAGGATGACAGAAGAATCGATGCCACTGAGCTATAGTGTCAGAGAAGAGTATTGAACACCCCATGGACTGCCAAAAGAACAAACAGGTATGTCTTGTGGAAGTGCAGCCAGAGGGCTCCTTAAGAGGCAAAAATGATAAAAGCTTCACCTTACATAATTTGGGCCTGTTGCTAGAAGGGGCTACTCCTCAGAGAGGGACTTGATGCTCGGAAAGGTGGAGAATCGGAGGAGAGGGAGACTCTCAACCATGTGGACTGACGCAGTGGCTGCCACAATGCGCCCTCGTGTGTCAGGATGTGCGTGCATGGCACAGGATAGGACAGGGTTCAGATCTGTTGTTCACAGGGACTGCACATGGACCTACCAACATGTTGGAGACAGTGAGACAGGCTTAGGATAGGGCAGGGCTCAGAGCTATTGTGCGTAGGATCGCTACTGAGTTAACTTGATGACACATAACAAAACCCGGTTTCATATGAGCAAAGGTAAGGTTGTGGATACATTAGGTATGAAATCCTGCCCACTTATAGGTACCCTGTTCCAAAAAGGCAGAATCTGCCTGCCACAGGCAGTGAATAAGACTTAAGAAGAGTTTCCTCGGAATTATGGTGTTGGTGAATACTGGCGATCCCATGGACTGCTGGACAAACCTGCCTTGGAAGGAGTCCAGCCAGACTGGAGACTTCATCGCCCATATTGTGGACATGTGGTCAGCAGGGGCCAGTCCCTGGAGAAGGGCAACATGCTTGGTAAAGCATCAGTACAAAAACAGGAGGCTGCTCAGGGAGACTGATGAACACAGGCTCCAACAATGGTCCTCAATCCAGCAAGCACAGTGAGGGCATGTGGGACCGGGCAGGGGTTCGATGTGTGGGATATGGGGTCCTAACACAGAGGTGTGCGCACAGGGGAAGAGTTACACGGGCATCCAGAGTCCGCCTGCACACCAACGGGAAGCCTCACCTCAGACTTCAGGCATGTTGCCAGGAGAGGGTATTCCTTGGAGAGGGACATCATCTTGGAAAGGTGGAGGGGCAGCAAGAGATTACGACCCTCAACCAGACAGAAAGACAGTGGTTGCAGCAGTGGGCTCTGGCGTGACAGGAAGTATGGACACGGCACAGGACAGGGCAGGGTCTGTTGTTCACAAGGTTGCTATGAACCATCCCAACAGCACCCAACGCCACCAATACTGATCCAACAGCCAAGATGAGGCTCAAAGTAAGTACAAGCGGCCTTTTTTTGCTGAGCTCTGCTTTATTGCACTCCAGAGAAACCGAGTTGGGCTTTTTACAAGTGGAAGATGGTTGTGAAAGGCTATGGGTGCCATTTTCCCAACAGCATGTGCTTGTTCACCACGTCTCTGTGCCCTGTTTTGCCATTCTGCAATGTTTCAAACGTTCTCAACAGAGTTCCTAGGCGACCACGCAGCACGAAGATTTTTACTGGCACTGGGAACCCAAAGTATTTATGTGACTTGCTTGATTTCAATAGATCCTTTACTGTGGTCACGTGGGACCAACCCTGCTGTGTCTCTGAGGTCTGCCTGTGTGCAGATTCAAAGAAATCTGGCAAAAGGACAAATGATCCAATTTCATTTTTGTAAACTTTAAAGGCTGCAGGTTGAGTGACAAAGCCAACCAGGAATGCGCTGAGGATCCCGTTACGGGCTGTGGTCTGGATTCAAGGCCATGCTCAGATGGGTGGCCACGTTATTTCCTCATTTGGCATTTTTTCTTTTCATTTTCCCAGCAATCACTGAACAGACCATGTTTATTTTCATGAAGTTCAAATGATCAACTGTTTATGACCTGGATTTTGTCATTGTTGTTCTAAAGAATCATCGATTATTAAGGCCCCATCTCCTCTTCTCTCCTGGAATTTGTTAGTCTATGTGCTTAGATAGAGGATCCATTTCAAGCTTAGTGTGTACGGTGTGAGGTAAGGATTCAGGCTCACTCTCCCCTCCCCTGGACTTATACACAGTTGTCTAAAAGGCATTCATTGAAACTTTCCTAAACCTTTATGTTGTAAGCCAGAATGTACCTGAAAAATGAGGACAGAAAAAAAAATGAGGATGATGAGATTTCAACTCAGTAATTTGGACGTCGTCTTCAGGAGAAGTCAGTCTCTGGAGGTGATATCATGTCAGGTGGAGAGTCAGTGAGAAAGGGGAAGACCTTTTTGATGGCTGCATCGCAGCTGGAACTGAGGTGGTGATGGCTGCATCGCAGCTGGAACTGAGGTGGTGCAGGACAAAGCAGTGTCTGACCTGTGATACACAGGGTAGCTGTGGGCGGGAACTGACTCAGTGGCCCCTGATGAGGACACACCAAGTGCCCTGCTTTGATGTTGTCATTGGAAATTGTTGGACAAAGGTGGGTCTCATTCTCAACTTTCTCTTCCCTCAGAACCACATTGTTCAGACTGCTGTGGTCCAACAGCAGCTCTCAAAGTCAGGGACGTGATTCGTCTTTGTTCTTCTACAAGGATTGTCCACACTGTGTTGTTGTTGTTGTTGACTGCTGCCCACCCGATTCTGACTCCCATGCCCCAGAGCACAGTGGCCTCCTGGGACCTTCTGGGCTGTACTCTTTCCAGGAGCAACCTCAGGTCTCTCTTGCAGAGCTTCTCTTCTGGGTAGATCTGAACCTTCCACCATTTGGTTATCAGCCACGGGCTTAACCATTGTGCTGCAGAGCTACTCGAGGTCTTTTAAACACTAATTTTGCAACCAGATGTCATGACAGAGACTATTGAATCTATAATTTGTGGAAAAATCTTATAATCAGGTTTATCTACTATCTTGCTATTTATCTTCTATTCATCTCATTTCTTATTTCTCCTACTTTGTCTTTCAGTAATAAAAATTATTATTAAATATTTTCTCCATTACAATTTTCATTAAATTTTGTTATTTCTATCATTGTGGTTACCCTACAGATTGCATTATGCTTCTGACTTCATTCACGACCTAAAAGCCAAGCCCGGCTGTCCCACCGTCACCTGGCTGACCCTAGGTCGCGAAGCCCGGCTGGCCCACCGTCACCTGGCTGACCCTGAGTGGTGAAGCCCGGCCCGTCCAGCCTGCCGTCTCCTGGCTAACTCTGAGTTGTGAGGACGCTCTGTTGGGATTCCCAGGCTGGAAATGTCAAAGGGACCAGCCAGCTTCATCTATCTTCTGGGCAGCAGCTGGTGGATTCAGACTGGAGACGTTCCAGTTAGCAGCTCAATACGTAATGCACTACGCCGACAGTCCACACTCACGGTGCTGGGTCACCTCCCGCTTAGAGGGGCCTTTGCTGGACTCCCACGCTGTAAACGGGAATGGGAGAAGGGCCGTCTCTGCAGATCTGCTGGTGAACTTGAACTGCCAGAGCCTCACAGCCTTTGGACTAGCAGCTGCGCTCCCCACGGACTACACCAGCGGGGCCCTTCATTACCACCCACCTCACATCAGTGCATTCTGTGGAGGTCTCCAAGCAGACAGCCCAGGCCCCCAGCCCCACCCAGGCACAGCATCCCTTTCCTGGGAGTTCAAGCCCCACAGTCCTGCAGGCCTTGAAAGCCACGGCCTCCCACTCAACACGCTGGGGACAGTGACCCCTGCAGCCCGGCCACTGCAGCAGGACCTTTACCAGGCAAGCAAGTAAAGGGGCACAAAGCAAGGGGACTCTGACACAAAACGGATCATCCGCCTGCGGCACCCTCAGCACAGACGAGGTGGCTGGGACGCCTGTCCCACGTGGCCAGGTGAGGCCGCAATGCCCATCCCACATCCCCAGGTGAGACTGGGGTGCCAGTACATCCCCATGTGAGGCCAGGATTCCTGTACCATCCCCATGCCCGGGTGTCCTGCACACAGGCCAGGCCTCCACCTCAGAGCCTTGGGTGTCCCTGTGTGTAGGAAGGTTAACACTCTGGGTGGCCCAGCTCCTTCCCCAACAGTGTCCAGTCCCAACCTGGCCAGGCCCCAGCGTGCACAGACAGGCATACTTTGCCCCATCTGTACCCCACAAACAGCTTCCCCAGAACTGGCCACCTCTGCCCCATCTCTGGACCAAGCATCCAGGGAACTCTGGGTTCCCAGTCTCAGATCCCAGGGGACACACAGAGATGGTGGCCCAAGGCCTGCAGTCCCATCAGAGGCCTGAATGAATGCAGGGATGGGCAGGCCTCAGGTACAGCCCCCATGCCAGGTCCAGCTGTCAAACAGACCTCTCACAGGTCCCCACCTTTCACCCCCAAGAAAATCCCTGTGTAGCTCCCCCAACCCAGTATGTCCCCGGTGGGCCCACACTGCCCATGACGGTCACACTGGGCCTGCGCCAAAGGGGTGTGAAGGCCGGACACAGAGCATACACACGCAAGGTGGGGCCTGCAGGAGGACTGTAGAGCTCATGGGCACATGGGGACACGCTGGGCACACGGACAGGAGGACACTGCACACAGGGATATGGAAAGCATACAGCACATGGCACATGACAAGCACATGGGGACACGGGCACAGAGGGGACATGGGGGAATGGGGACATACGGGGACACAGCTGACACACAGGGACCCATGGGGACAGGGGGACACATGGGGGCATAGAGACACACACTGGGACACATTGGGCACATGGAGGGACACAGCAGGCATATGGGGGACACAGGGACCCATGGGGACACGGCTGGCACATCGACACAGCTGGCACACGGGACACAGCTGGTGCATGGGGACACGGCCGACCCGGGTGGACTGGTACGCAGGCTCACTGGCAGCACTCGTCCACGTGTCGGAGCAGCTCCTCGCCCAGCTCGTCATGGAAGCGCTGTAGGCAGTGGGGACACTGGAGGTCCCCCTGATTCTTGAGGTCTGTGCCTGCGCTCCTGGACTCTGCGGGGGGCTCTAGTTTAGTGGACACCAACTTCTGGCATCCAGGCTCGGGGGCGTCCATCTCCAAGTGCTGGGGAGCCCTGCTCTCAGGGACAGTGTGGCCTGGCTCCCATATGTCCTGGAGCAAAAAGAGGACGCTGACCTGGCTGGGGGAGGGGGGATGGAGGGGTTCCCTGCAACCCATACATCCAAGGAAGCCACAGGCCCGAGGGGACTGGCTCCAGGGCACACCTTGTGGGACAGATTCCGTAGCCCCACCCTGCACCTCCTCACTGGGCCTGCATAGCCCTCGGTGCTGACCGCCACCAGCACTCAGTGTCCAGGTGAGGACACCCCGCCCAGGGAACTCACAGAGCTGCGGCAGGGCACCCCACCTGCAGACCGAGTGACCATGGCATGGGCCTCCGCCTGGCCACTCAGAGCCTTCTGACTCTGCCAACGGCCTCCAGCCAAGGCCTCAGCCTCCAGGTGGCCACAGAGCCAAGGACCCCCCACACCCAGCCCCAGGTTTCTGCACGGAGGCCAGGGGGCCTTGGGGACAAAGTCAGTCTCAGATCCCAGGGGACACACAGAGATGGTGGCCCAAGGCCTGCAGTCCCATCAGAGGCCTGAATGAATGCAGGGATGGGCAGGCCTCAGG